AGCAGCAGTTAAGCCAAAGAGGTGAAAGCATAAGGGTAGATTTTTGAGACTCAGTAAAATCTGTGACAAAGAAAGAAGTTTCTGGAGTAAGTCAAATCTGAATCAAAATGCAAACTCTGACACTTGCTTGCTGAGTAACCACGGGCCAGTTTCTCACCCTCTCAGTGCCTCGTAGGATAGTGTGAATTTGATAAGCTGTTGTAAGGAAACCAAGTCAGAAAGCCTCTGGCCCATAGTGAGGTCGAGAAATACCCATGGGTAAAAAGGTCTGGAGTGGAGGGAGGAGGCAGCAGAAGCCCCTCATAGAAACCCAAACCTTGCCAGCAGGTGGTAAGGTCACCTCTGTCCGTGGGTCTTTCGGGTAGAGATTCACTGAGTACCTACTAGGAGCCAGGCATATGCTGCGGGAACCACAGGTTCAATTCCGCTCAGTGCACTCATTTCCACAGCTCGCTTGCCTCAGAGTAAGTCCGGTGGCACGTTAGTTCCACTGGATCTTAGATATGGTTATCAAAATTAAAATTCAAATGACCACACAAGGATTCTGTGGCAAAGCAAGTTTGAGAACTTGTACTAAACAGCTAAACAGGTTCTATGGCTGAGGGACTTCGAGCCTTGCCTATGCTCCTGGGCCCAAGGTTCTCCCAGAGAGGGATGCGGAAGTCAGGCTTCCAGACTTAAGTGCCCACAGAACCCAAAAAACTGGAACCTGGCTTTGGGAAGCAGTGCTATAATGCCTTAGCATCTCTCTACCCCACCCCTCCTTGCACTGCTGGTTGCAGGCACTCCTTCCTACCTTGCTGGTCCCCACTGCCCCATTCCTGGTCTCCCCCATCCCCCAGGAAGTGCAGTAAGCTTTGCCAAGCTTACATCCTTTGCCCAGTGGCACACTGCCCGCCCCCCCCTCCCCCACACAGAATCAGGGGCTCTGTGCTTGCTATTTTCTGGTTTCTTTCTGTGAGATGTCTTCTTCCTCCCCTGCCTGGCGAATCCTGTTCATCCTCCATGCCTCTGTCCCTTCAGGCAGCCTCCTGCTGTCCTGGTCTGGGATCAAAGTCCCTTTTCAGATCCTCTTGGCCTCCACAGTGTCACTCTCTCATACCTAGTAACTGGCTGGCACCTGTAAGCTTCCTGCTGTCTTCTTCCCCTCCTATTTTGAGTGCCTTGAGGTGGGGGCAGCCGTGTAGCTTATGGTTAAGCTTATATGACTGCAGGGGGCTTTAGATCCTGTGTGACTCTGGGCACCTGCCTGTGCTTCCGTGTCCTGCTCTGTGAAATGGGCAATGAAAATTGTAGCACCTTATAGGATGTTATGTGCAGGGAGAAGCAGCTTTTCCACTTCCTGCTTCCCTTAACGGGGGAGGTGGCAGAATGAAATGGAAGGGGCTCATACCTGGCGCCTGGGTTTGAATGCCACTGTGAGACAATGGGCAAGTGACTTCACCCTCTGAAAGCTCTGCTTCCTTCTCCAAATGATGAAATGCCTCCATTTCTATGTCAAAGTCTATGCCTCCATTTCTATGCCTATTACATGGGGTTGAACTGATAATCTGAGGCTACACATAGGAGCTGACAGAGTAGGTGCTTAATAAATATTTTTAAAGAAATATATAGACTTTCACTCAGTACCACAGACCTAGGGCATGTAACTTGCTGGGCTCCCTGAAAGCCTGAATGAGAAGGCATTTAGAGGACAGGTGAATCTATTGCTTTATTTCACAGATGAGAAACCAAGGCCCATAGAGGGCCAGGACTCACCCAAGGGCACATAGCAAGTAGGATTTAGTAGATCTTAGATAAGAGCCCACGTCTTCCTGCCTTTCAGTCCAGGGAGATTTCAGACCCTCTAGACAAGGCCTCAAGATGTCTTGGCATTGAAGAGCCTGTAGGGATAGTAAACCACAAAAGAGGCCAGGCACAGTGACTTATGCCTGTAATCTCAGCACTTTGGGAGGCTGAGGCAGGAGGATCACTTGAGCCAGGAGCTGGAGACTAGCTTAGGAAACAAAACGAGACCCCCATCTCTACAAAAAAATGAAAAAAACAATTAATGGGGTGTGGTAGTGTGTGCATGTTGTCCTAGCTACCTGAGAGGCTGAGATGGGAGGATCCTCTGAGCCCAGGGATATGAGGCTGTAGTGAGCAATGATCACACCACTGCAATCCAGCCTGGGCAACAGAGCAAGACCTTGTCTCAATCAATTAATCAATCAATAAAACCACACAGATATCAGAAGGACGGGAGTGTAATTATTTCTGACAATGCCTTACACTAACAGGCTTTGGTTTTAAAATGGTCAAATACACTCTTTTTTTCTTTTGAGACAGGGCCTCACTCTGTCACCCAGGCTGAAGTGCAGTGGTGTGATCATAGCTCACTGCAGCCTCAACCTCCCGGGCTCAAGCAGTCCTCCCACCTCAGCCTCCAAAGTAGCTAGGACTACAGGCATGCACCACTGCACCTTGCTAATTAATTTTTATTTTTATAGAGATGGAGGTCTTGCTAATGCTGCCCAGGTTGGTCTCAAACCCCTGGCCTCAGTGATCCTCCTGCCTCGGCCTCGCAAAGTGCTGAAATTAGAGGTGTGAGCCACGAAGCCTGGCCTGATTTCATCAGTGTTCCAGCTGTCTTGAGATCTACAGTCTCCCCTTTGCTCCCAGTTGAGCTTGAGCATGGTGTGAAGGTCACTTGCCTCCAGATGCAAGTGTCAGGCAGGCACCCCCTACCCTGTGGTGGATTGCAGTCCAGTGTAGACACCTCTTTTGGGCTTGGGCCTGCCCCTCTTGGCCAGGTGTAGTGGTGGAGGGAGGTGTAGAGAAGTTGCATCCCCTAGACCCCTCCCTGGATGGGACACAGTGCTCTATGGTTGACCCTACACCAGCTAGAGGTTAAGGGGTCTCCCTTGGGGTCTGAGTCCCAGGATCACCATGCCCCAACCCTTGTGACCTTGGGAAAGCCACCTGCTCCCAGCCCTCAGTTTGCTCATCTGTCAAATGGAAGGGAGGCTGGCATTTCTATCAGCGGTGTTGCGGGGATAGGACAAAAGGAGGTAAAGCTTTTGGGGCACTCAGCAGAGCACATGGTAATCAGTCATCAGTACTGTTTCCTTTAATTGCAACTCCTAAAATCAGGGATCCAAGCGCCCTCAAAGACACTCCCAAGGTCTTTGACCTCAAACTGGGAACGGTTGCGTTACCCCTTTCTCTCATGCTTGAGGCCCAATGGCTCGTCTCCATGCTGGGGCATTCTCTAGGCATCGTGAAGGACACAGCGTTGCTCCCTGGCATTTGCAAAGGTGCCTGGCATGGGTGCCGCATTTCATTGTGTACATGCCCCTTCTTCTACCCAGTCCATACCTACCCCTCACATACCTATAGCACGTTACAGTTTATATGTCACACAGCATCTGCCGGGCTTAGGAGGCAGACCCTTGATTTGCAGAGCACACAGAGGCCTGGAGAGCCATAGGGAGCCCAGGGAGCTGCACGGGCCCCAGGCTTTGCCTCTGAGCGGCCCCACGGGCGCTGGTGCGATTCTGGCTCGGATCCAGTCCCCTCGGGCTCTACCTCCTCGTGCTCCCTCTGTGTCCTGTGGAAGATGAAGTCTTCCTGAACGAGGCTCGGGAACGCTGCCACTGTTCAATGAGCTAATGGTGAAATTGGAAACTCAAGGGCTGGAGGCAGAGAGAGAAAAAAAAAGACTAGCTTTGATTCATGGGCAGGAGGATGAGTGAATGGGGAAGACTCATCCTGCGGTAATCAGAGGAAACGCCTGAGCGTCCTTCGTCCTTCGAGCAAAGTCTCTCCCGGAGAGTGGAAGGTCATGCAAGTGGCAAGCTCGGTGCCCGGCGGCCGAAGCCGGGATGGGGAGGCAAGGGAATGGGCTTGGGGCAGACAGACCTGGGCTCCGATCCCAGTGCCACTGCAGCAGCAACTGTGCCACCCTCGCCTGTGAAGCAGGGTGATGGTGTTTGTTATCTCGGGGGTCCCCTCAGCAGAGTAAGTTAGCTGGTAGAAGCCGGGCACAAAATAGGTGCTCACAAAATAAAAACCCCTGGAAGCTTCTCTAGTAGAGCAGGGTGGAGACAATGTACTGTCTCTTTAGAAGAGGGGTTAAAATCTGTCAGCTGCCTCCCCTGATCCTGAGTGAGGGACTGAGCTATTTCCACAGTCTCGGCTCTGATTTCCGGGGTGGTGGTAGTTAGCTGGAGGCATGCCAAGGTTTCTAGAGGTAATCACTCACATGAGCTCTAGAATGAGCCATGGGGCCCATGAGAGTGAGAGAAAAGGGTAACACAACCGTTCCCAGTTTGAGGTCAAAGACCTTGGGTGTGCCTTTGAGGACCCTTGAATCCCCGATTTTAGGAAGCTATTAAAGCAATTAAAGGAAACAACACTGATGGCTGATTACCATGTGCTTCAAATGCTTTACATCCTTCCATCCTATCCCTGCAACACCGCTGACATAAATACCAGCATTCCTTTCATTTGACAGATGGGCAGACTGAGGCCTGGGAGCAGGTGGCTTTTCCAAGGTCACATGGCTTGGGGCACTCAGATCCCAAGGGAACCCCCTTAACCTCTAGATAATCGCTCTCATGTCCAGCAGGTCACCATAGGCATTCTCACATGGTCTCCGACGAGCTGGGTGTTATGATCGCTGCAGGTGAGGATGCTGAGCTCTGTGGGACAGAGATTTGTGCCGGGTCACACAGCTGGCAGATGACAGCACTTGGCCTCCAGTCTGGAGCTCTTGCCTCCAGCTCCTCAGTGCATTCTCATACTCCATCTTAATTTGGGAGGAAATGGAATCTCCTGGGAGAAGGAAAGGAATGAAATTAGTGTTAGAAGGAGAATGTTATTGTGCCTTGAACAGTTTTAGAATTTCCTCCAGATCCTTCAGACCGGCCACCTCACCTGCACACATACTTTGTGATAGGAAGGCAATTGGCTGCAGCGAGAAAGCCTCTGACTCACCTATTTTTTTGTTTAAACTTCAGAATCCCAAATTAACAGAGGCTTCCTCTGTGTGCTGGGAGGATGCCAGGCAAGCTTCCCAGCCTGGAACTGGAAGATAATAGTAATTAATGGAGCCGGTTTGTGTGAGGAGCCTCAGCCTGTGAGGTAAACAGGAAAAGATTCTGTACTGTTTTATTTTTTTTCTAATAACTGCTCCCCTGTGTGCTCTGCTGAGCTTCGTTTTTCTTGCTGGATAGCTGGTTTCCTCTAGGACACCTCATTCTATAACTTTCCAGTCACTTTGAGTTATTAAAAATAACAATCTCATTTTGGTTAGTAAGACTCAGTCCTGTTCATGTTGAAATGGGAATCTCATATGAAAGTGGGTGCTTCCCTCTGGGGTATGTGTGTGTGCATGTGTGTGTGTGTGAGTGGGCATGTACATATGTGTGTGTGTGCCTGTGCTTGTGTCGGCAGTGTGTGCATCTACCTGTGTGCATGCATGTGTATATGTGTATGTGCATGTGTGTGTGCATGTGCAAGTACATATGTGTATGTGTGCATATACTTGTGTGGGCAGTGTGTGCATGTACACGTGTGCACACATGCATATATGTGTGTGCATGTACATATGTGTATATATGCTTGTGCTCCCTCTGTGGGCAGTGTGTGCTTATGTACATGCATGTGTGAGCAGTGTGTGTGTACATGTGGGCATGCATGTGTATGTGCGTGGGTATGTACATATGTGTATGTGTGCATGTGCTTGTCTGGGCAGTATATGCTTATGTACATGTGTGTGTGAGCAGTGTGTGTGTGTCCACATGTGCATGCATGTGTGTGTGTACATATGTGTATGTGTGCCTGTGCTTGTGTGGGCAGTGTGTGTGTATAAGTGTGCATGCATGTGTATGTGTGTGTGCATGTGTGTGCTTATGCACATGCATGTGTGGGCAGTGTGTGTGTGTTCATGCATGTAAGTGTGTGCATGTGTGCCTGTGTGCACGCATGCATATGTGGTTCTTGGGATCTTGGAAGATGCAGCTCTGGCTCAGATTCTCCCTTTTTATCCTAATTCTCTCAGGCAAGTGGAATAGCTCTGGCTCCCAGAGCCCCTGATCTTGATGGTGGGGTGGATCTCAGCTTAAGTCCATACCACCTACTGTGATGTCCACCTAAGCCACAGGAAGCCTGTGAGTCCTTGCCACACCAGGCATCGGGCACCCTCCTCTCTGCCCTGCCATCTCCACTGTTGCTTTCTCCATGCACCATGGGGTTGTGAGAACTTGGTGGCGCAGGGCGCATTGCAGGCTTCATGGCTGGGAGTGGCTGGAGATATCTCCTGGTGTCTGACCTGGGGAGGAGCAGGTGAGAGTAGGTGTCGGGCACTCCCGGTCTGGTAGAAAGACAGTGGGGCACTCTGCCTGCTTCCCCCGACACCTCTCTTGCATCTCTCCCTGGTAAATGCTGTCCTCTCAGTTTGGTGTCTCTCGCCGCTGGAGCTGTGGGAAATCCTAGGACTCCAAGAATGAGACCTTCTTTGAGATGGCTCTGGAGGATTTAGTAACTTTGTTCTTCCAAGTGAAACTTTGGAGCCCCTTCAGGGCCCTTTCAGAGGGAGGCTGGGGAGGGAGGAGCCCCCAGGACCTCCTGGCGTCCTGTTACCCACAGTCCTATTCACGGAGCCCCTGGGTAGTGCCTTCTCAGGACACACTGAGTGCAGAGTTCATTAACCTCATTTTACAGGTGAGGAAATGAAGGCTCAGAGACACAAAAGGACGTGTCCAAGGTCACATGGGCAGCTAGTGGCAGAGTCGGGATTTGGATCCGGGTTTGCCTCTCTTCAGAGACCCAGGAGTTACAGACATTTGTTGTCTAGGGTCACCCAGAGTTGATTCCTTCTCCTGGTTCCACCATCCTAACATCTTTTAGAGCAATCGCCTCTTCCCTATGGGGTGGAGTCTTGGGGCACTGTCTGTTAAGGTTCCCTGCCCTCCCTTAGACACTGACCCAAACTGAGCTCATCAGACGCTCCGTCCTGGACCCTGAGCCAGGAACAGAGAGTGACAGGGACAAGCACCCCATCCCCAAAAAGAGAGAAACAAACAGTAAAGAGCAGTCATTCCAGCCCTGGACCGATAAGGCCATCGAGTAGCTCCAGCTTCCCAGGCTTGGGAGCTGTTGCACTTCCTGTCCATTTCCAGGTAGTTTTCAGATCCCACTCAGTGTGGGCTAGCTGATATCCTCCAGATAAATCCCCCCTACTCCTATTTTATCTATTTATTTATTTGTAGATGGGAAGTTTTACTCTGTTGCCCAGGCTGGAGTGGAGTGATGTGATCACAGCTCACTCCTACCTCAAAGCCCCGGGCTCAAGCAGTCCTTCCTGCCTCAGCCCTCCCGAGTAGCTGGGACTACAAGCACGTACCACCATGGCCAGCTAATTTAACTTTTTTTTTTAATGTTGCCCAAGCTGGTCTTGAACTCCTGGCCTCAAGTGATCCTCCCACCTGGGCCTCCCAAAGTGCTGGGATTGCAGGCGTGAGCTGCCGCGCCCGGCCTCCCCATTTTATTTGCTTTAGTCAGCCACAGTTCATTTCCATTGTTTGTAATCAAATAATCCTCTCTGGTACCCTAAGCATGGTGTTGGGGGATCTTGCTCTTTGCCTACGGGGAATCCCTCTGTTCTCTGTGTATTGATGAATTATGACATTTAAAGGCACTTAGAACAGGGCCTGGCTCTCAAAAATGATTCTGCCATTCTTATTGGACTCCGATTCTGTTCTCCTCTTGGACTCCGGTTCACACAGGGGTCCAGGCCTGGGTGGGTGGCCGGGTCTGTCCCTCCCAGGCCTTGGGGCTGTTGGGATCCCCACAAAGCCTAAGCTGACAGGTCTTGGTTCAGTTCCTACTGGGCAGATGCTGGTGTCCTGTCAGATTGAGGCTTACCACAGCTGGCATTAAGTGACCATGTGACCGCCTGGCAGCTGCCACCTGTGCCATGTTCCAGGGGCCCCGGTGAGGAAGGGCTGAACTCACCATCCTCCCCAACAATGGTGGTGCTATGAAGCATGATGATCATTATTTTTCTGAGCACCTACTATGTGCCAGGCCCTTTAACGATAGTAAGAGCAATCCTAATGATGAAAGCCACAGCATCAAACATTGTCAGTTTGTTCTTCCCAGAATTCCTATGGGGAGGCTTGTGCCCATTTTATGGATGAGTAAATTGAGGCCGAGGGACATTGCTGGGAAAACATGGAAGGTACTTGGATTCCACTTGGTGTTTCAACTTCAGCAGAGGCATTGGCTGGTTTCTTCAAGGTAAACACAGAAGTATTTGATTTTCCAAGACAGCACAGCTTAATTGACATGAGAAGCTCATACACTCCTCCTATTAATATGGCTTTGATGATGCTCTCTACAAAATATTCCTGGCCCTCTTATATTATGGGGCCTTCGCCTCCTCCCTGGGTTATGTCTGGATCCTTGGGGACAAATGGGAACATCCTCACACATGCTGGCTATGCACCAATGACTCCTAGATTTCTTTTTTCTTTTCTTTCTTTCTTTTTTTTTTTTTTGAGACAGAGTTTCACTCTTGATGCCCAGACTGGAATGCAATGGTGCAATCTCAACTCACTACCATCTCCGCCTCCCAGGTTCAAGCGATTCTCCTGCCTCACCCTCCCAAGTAGCGAGATTACAGGTGTGCGCCACCATGCCCCACTAACTTTTGTATTATTAGTAGAGACAGGGTTTCACTATGTTGGCCAGGCTGGTTTCAAACTCTTGACCTGAAGTGATCTGCCTGCCTCGGCCTCCCAGAGTGCTGGGATTACAGGTGCGAGCCGCCGTGCTCCGCCAGCTCCCAGATTCTATCTCCAGTCCAGACGGCTCCTGCCTCCTAGACTGGCTTCTCCAATGGCCTTCTTGACACCTCACTAGGATGCCTGGAAGACACCTCAAACCCCGCACATCCATACTCTCAGGCTCCCTCACTTCCTGACCCTGCTTCTTCTGCAACTTCCTTCACCTCAAGGGCTGGCAACTCTGTCCTCCTCATGCTCAGTCCAAAGCCCTGCAGTCATCCTTGGCTTCCTCTCCTTCCACACCTCCTCCATTAGGAAATCATGCATGGGTAAGGAATTGATCATCTTTTTCCCTTCTACCCCCTCCACCCTGGTCTGAGCCACCATCGTTTCTTGCCCGGATTACCCCATTCTCTTCCTGCCCTGCTCCGAGCTCCTATGCTGGACCCACCTTCATCCCTTCCCAACACAGAGGCTGGATGATCCTTTGAAGACAGGCGTCAGACCATGTCCCCTATCTGCTCCAGCCTGGATTACGACTTCCTTTTCGCTCAGGGCAAAAGCCAAAGGTGTGAAGACCCCCAGGACCCTCCTGATCTGGCCTCAGGTCCCACAGCTCTCTTCTGCCTGCTCTGCTCAACCACACTGGGCCCTTGCTGTCACCTCCCCGCCACGCCAGGCTGGCTTCTGGCACAGGGCCTTTGCATCGGCCACTCCCTCCTCCCTCTCGCTACGCACATGGCTCACTTCCTCATCTCCCATGAGCCTGCTCGGTGAGCTCCCTCTTCCCCAACCACACTAAGATTGCATCGTCCACACCTCACACCCCAAACCCCTCCACTCCCTCATGCTGCCCTACTTTTTCTCTGTTTCATAGCAAGTATCTGATACCCTTCTGATACCCTTATTGAAGGATTTCACTTAAGTATCTACTTTAGGAGAATTTGCTGAAGGCAATTTATGGTTGCTGTTTGTTGTCTGACTTGTGTCAGCTCCTCCAGGGTGAAGCTCTTTGCCTGCTTTGTTCCCCATATGTCACAAGCTTCTGGAGCATTGCCTTGCACACAGTGGACACTCTGTGGATGAATTCCCAACAGCTTTCCTTGGATCCTCAAATTTCTCCCTGACACTGGGGTCACAGAGCATCAGTTCATGCCGTTGTACACAGTATCAGTAGAACCAGCAGAAAACAAAACGGCCCCGCAGTGGCGGCTGCTGGCTCGGCTGTTCTCAGCTGTTGGGATCCGCCCGGGTGAAAGCCCTCCTAGGCTCCTGCTCTGTCACACCTCAGGGCCTTTGCACATGTTGTGCCTCTTTCTTCCCAGTAGACTCTTGGGTGTCATTCAAAGCCTTGGTAAGGTGTCATCTCTTTCCTGAGGCCCTCCAGGACACTCCCACCCTCCTCAGTCCTAGGAAACACTTAATCCCTTCTTCCTTTCCTGCAGTGACATCCCTATGATGTTTCTCAGTGTGTGGGTCCCAGTGTCTCCCTGGGATGTGGCTCTGTGTCCACTGCACCATCAGACTGTGAGCTCCTTGAGGGCAGAGGCTGGGCTCTTGCTCTGTTCTGAACTGGCCTGGGGCTTGGCACAGGGCATGTGCCCAGTCAGTGTTCCTTGGGGAGAACAGAGCAAATCTGACATAAGCCAGGAGAGAACAAAGAGGGTTGTAAAGACCCTTTCAAGGTCACTGGCTGGCGGGAAATGAACACTGTCTTATTATTTGATCATTTATTTATACTCTATTTTCAAATACGATTTGAGACAGCCTGCGATGAAAGGCATAGATACGGCAAAAATGAAGCTCTGCATCTTGAGTGCCTCCTCCTCCTCCTCCTGGCTCTTCCTCCCTGGCTATAAACGTGTCCCAGTCTCTGTCCTCTTAACGAAAGTGCCCTAAACCCCCCAGCAGCTCTGTGGCCCTCTGCAGCCCTGGCTTTCAGACAGGGCCTGCAACCACTGTCTGTGCTCAGACCTGCTTTCTGAAGCTGGAGTCATCTCACTTCTGCCTCGTCCCTCCACCAAACCCATCTTAGCCAGGGCACTGGGCACTTCCATGTCACTGCTACAGTGGACACACTCAGCTCTAAGTCACTGGAGTTCTGGGCAGCCCTGGGCATTCTGACCCCTCTTCCCTTTTCCACCCCTTTGCTTCCCTTGGCTTATGTGATGCCACACTCTTGGAGTTTCTCTCTGGTTTCTCCTTCCCACCTCCCCTCCTCTGCTCATCCCATAAACATCTGTGAGCCTCGGGACTCCCTCTCTCCTCCTTTCTCAATTCACCCTACACTCTTTCTCTGAGCAATTTCTTTCATTCCCATGACTGCAGTTACCATCAGGACTAATTTGGGTAATTCTAGAAACAGATAACCCCCCAAAACTCAGTGGCTTAACACAGTATCAATTCCTCTCTCCCTTCCATAAAGTTCATTCAGTAGCAAGAGGAGAGAAGGGGGCCTGGTTCCTTCTGGTCATCAAGGGATACAGGCTCGATTCACTTGGCTGTCATTGACCCTGAATCTGTACTCACTTTGGACAAGAGCAG